AGCAAAGACTCAGAAAGTTAATAACCACAGAGGCAGCTTAGTTTCTCTTGCTTTGACAGAGAAATAGAATCAAAATAAAAGCTGGGAGCCAGTTGCTTTAATTTTTCTATATACTTACATTCTTGTTGTCATGCCAGTGGAGCACAAGGAATGATAGCTGGCTTCCAATCAGACATTATATATGTATTTTATTAAAATATATCTAAATATGTATTTAAGAGTTGATGCTAAATGCTTTTACCAAACTACCTTTTATCCAAATTTGCAAAGCTGTTAGCATAAGGCTATTTTCTTTTGACTTTTAAAAGTGTTAGATACTAATTTCATGGACGTATAACATTTCATCCTCCCCCAAAACTCTGCCACAATATACCTTCCTGCTTCAATGACAAATTAAAATTCACCTTCTTCTAAAAGTTATAAGCCTACTAAACACATTTGTGACCTTAAACATGAACAATAAAGATATCTTTAAATTATTTGGAAGCAATTTATAGGAATTCTCCACATAATTGATTGGTCTTCCAGTGAGGGAGACCTAAATCCAAACCCTGACTTTCCTACCTGTTGGCTATAGGACCTTCAGCAAATTGCTTAGTCAATTTGATCCTTAATTTTTCTGTTTACAAAATGGGAACAATAAATGTACCTACTTCATGGAACTGAGAGAATTAAAAGTTAACAAAATATCACAGTCCTTAGCATATGCATTTTAGCAATAATTTTTGATTTTAGCAATAATTTTGTTTTAATCTTCGTCAGGGTTGACTCAGTAAAAGCTTTGATGTTGGTTCCTAATAATATTTATAAACCTTGGGGAACACAGTGATTTTGTTTAAGAAATTACATACTCTTTATCTACTCCGTAGTCTCACAAAGAACAATACTCATATAGTCACATTTATATTAAGAAAAAGATTTAAAAAGCAATTTATTTCTTCTAGTGGCCAAAATGAAAAAGACTTACAATATAAGAAGTTGACAAGAAGGTGAAACAACTAGAATTCTAATGAATGTGGATAGCAGGATTGCAAAATGATGCGTCAGCTTTGGTCTTTATTTTATTTTTTATTTAATTGGTATATATTTGTTCTATACAATTATACTCATTTTAGGAAATTTTGATAATTTTTTATTTTTCTTTCTCCTCCCTGCCTTCCCTTCCCCCCTTCCCCTTGTCCATTAAATATATCTTCCCTGTTTTCTGCCTTCTCTTTTTTTACTCTTTAATTTAACTGTTTTGGGTTTCTCATACAAGAGAAACCATGCGCTAATCTTACGTATCTGAGTTATATGAGGTAACATTATGTTTTGAAGTTCCATCCCCTTTCCTACAAATGACATGAATTTATGCTTCTTTAGAATCAAAGGATGCTCAATTGTGTAACTATACTACCTTATCTTTACCTATTCATCTGTTGTTTGGCATCTAGGTGCTTTCATAGTTTGGCAATTATGAATTATGCTGCTATAAGCATGAGTATACCTGTATTTCTACAGTATTATGTCTTTAACTTTCCAGGAAAATATCCGTGGAGCTGGGTCAAATTTCTATTTTCAGAGGAATCTCCATACTGTTTTTCATAGTGACTCTACTTATGTGCATTCCCAGCAACAATGTAGAAGAGTTTCTTTTCCCCACAGCCTCACCAGCATTGGTTGTTTCTTGTGTTCTTGATGAACCATTCTGACTGGTATAAAATGGAACCTCAGTGTTGTTTTTGGTTTGCATTTTCCTATTGGCTAAAGATGTTGACATTTTTTTCATGTACTTGTTGTGCAGTTGTGCTTCTTCTTCTGAGAAGTATCTGTTCATCTCATTTGCCCATTTTTTTTTTGATTGGGTCATTTGTTTTTGTAGGACCTAATTTTTGTAACTATTCTAGATGTTGGAACTTTATCAAAGAGTAGATGACATATTTTTTCTGTTATGAAGATTAGCTCTTCCTTCTGTTGTTTTCTTTAGATCTCAAAAATAAAATCCAGTATAACCTAATATAATCTCATTTGTTGATTCTTGGTGTTATTTTTTTGTGTGATTAGAGTTCAGAAAGTCCTTGCCTATACCCATGTCTTCAAGTGTTTTTCCTTTTTTATCTTCCAGCAGTATCAGTGTTTCTGTTTTTAAATCTAGGTCTTTGACTCATTTTGATTTTACTTTAGTACAGGGTGAGAGATATGGATTGAGAATGATGCTTTGGCATGTACCTAGCCACTTTTCTCAGTACCATCATGCATGAACTTTAGATTTTGTAAAGTTACACATCCAGTCAGGTTGATGGAACATGCTTGTAAAGCCCAACATTTGGGAGACTGAGGCAAGAGTATCTTGAGTTTGAGTCCAGCCTGAAGTACATACTGAATTTGAGGCCAGCCTAAACTACATAGTGAGATTCTGCCTCAAAACATAAAAAAACGAAAAAAAGAAATGACATGTCCATCTGCCTCAGTGATTCTCAAAGTGTGGATAGCATTGAGATTGAGAAACTCTGATCTATCCAACAACCCAGCCTCTACACACATAGGTCATTTATCCAAGAGTAGCAAGAGCACAGGTTTACAAAAATGTCTCATGCTAGCTAGCATGCCCACAGTAGGTTTATTGATAATATCCCTGAACAGAAACAATTCAGATATCCATTAACAGGACAGTGGATAAACAACGTGCACTCATATAATGGCATACCACTTAGCAATAAAAAGGAACAAACTTTATGTACATAAAACAACATAGATTAATATATTTTAAAAATTATACCAAATGGGAAAGGAGCTGGGAACAAAAATATATTGACTGTAATTGTTGAATTTATATGAAATTCCAGGATAGGCAGAAATAAATTATGGTGATAGAAAAATAGATCAGTGGTTGTTGAAGGTGGGAATTGATTGGAAAGCTTGGGGAACTTCCTAGAATATTCAATAGACATTTGTTAAGTGGTTGAATAGAACACTTGTGATCCAAGCATTTTACTAGAAGGAAGGGAAGAAAGGCACACAGGCAATCAATTGGTCAGTTAGTATAGTCATTTTCTTTCAAACGGTTATCCATTAGTTCATACTCTCAAACATTAATGTTTTCAATCTTTTTCCATCTTAGCCATTCCAGTAGGTGAGTAATGTAGTTTTTTGTGGTTTTAGTTTCCATTTCCTTCAAGATTAATGAAGTTGAGCATATTATCATGTTTCTGGGCCTCTGGGATATTATCTTTTTGAAGTGCCTGTGTTTTTGTTGAGATATCTCATTTATTTGTGGGAGTTACATATTCTGAAATATGGAATTGGGAATGCACAGTTAACACATCTGAGAATTACTGCAATTCTCTTTTGTGTTAAATTGAACAGGCAACAACTATTAGTGAGGTCTTGTGGGTATATGTGTATAAAATACACATATGTATGTGTGTGTGTATATAT